GCCGAGGGCTGGGGCGCGTCCACGTGGCCGGCGGCCACCGGAGCCAGCGGCGGCGGGGAACAGGTAGGTGGCCAGCTTGCGAGGCCGGTCAGCCGAGTCCAGCCGCTGCCTGCCGGGGACCCTTTGTGGCGGCAGAACGCCCCCCCCCCGAGCATTGGCGCGGTGCTGCAGGGTCCCCGGGGTGGGGGCAGGGCGAGCCGGCGGTCCTGTAGGGTGGGCGTTGGGAAGCTGCACGGTCCGCATCCCGGCGGCGAGCCGGGGGAGCCCCGGGCCAGGTGGGGTCTGGGGCTGCGAGTCTGGCCCCTGCAGCTCCCGTCTACAGCCCCTGTCACTCTGCTGCGCTCCTGCGGGCGTGGGGGGACGAGGTGGCATCAGGCTGCCTTCAAGTGAGCGTCCTTTCTTCTCCGACTGTTGCGTTAAGAGTCCAGTCTGCAGAGCTGACAAAAGAGCTCGGGAGCGGGCGTGGGGCTCAGCGGAAACTTTGCATTGCCCACTGGGGCCTGCTGCTCTCTAGCTCTTCCCTCCCCACCCCCGCGCTGGGCACCCCGTTTCGCTTGGGCTCAGCCACAGTCCTGCCTCGGTGGCTAGCACAACACAGTCTGCGGTCCGGGGCTGGCCCGAGCCCCAGCCCCTCTCTTCTGAAGGATTCCTGGTCAGTTCCTGAGCGGCCCCTGTCCCAGTGCCCCCTGCACTGGGCACCCATCTCGGCAGAGTGTGTGGCTGGGGCAGATGCTGGGCTTTGTGTTGTGCCCGCCGGCTGGGCTCCAGGGCCTTGGTTCTCCACAGCCCAACTCTAGCCTGCTGGCAGTGGGGCCACGCAGGGTGCCCCCTTGTTTGCTCCCTGTCGGCCCCCTTCCCCGACGTGGATGGTAGGAGTCTGGGGCCAGGGGTGCTCTGAGTTTGCTCTCAGGGATCTGCGGTCCAGGAGGAGTGCCTCCTGTCTGCCTTTCCCAGCATCTGGCGCTGCGGCCCCGTGGGTGTGGCTCAGCTGAGGCAAGGCCACCCTGGCTTGGGTCCAGGGAGGGGATGATTGATGGCTGGGCCTGCGGCTCACCCCTACTGCAGGCCCCTCCCCTCTCCCAGCCACAGCCACCAGCTTGGGGCCCAGCGCTGGGTCGAGCAAGTGGTCCTGGACCCGTGGGCCAGGCCTCTGACTCCCATCCTGTCTGACAGGCCTTTCCAGAAGCGTCTCTGGACCATGCTGCTTGTCTCCCTCCTCCCGCTGCTCCTCCTCCTGGTGGTGGAGAGGGCCTGGGCCAGCAGCAGGTCCTTCCAGGTCTTCACGGTCACTGACACCACGCTTACACACTTGGCCATGCACCGGGTGACTGGAGAGGTCTTTGTGGGTGCAGTGAACCGAGTCTTCAAGCTGGCGCCCAACCTGACGGAGCTCCGAACCCATGTCACGGGCCCAGTCGAAGACAATGCCCGCTGCTACCCGCCCCCCAGCATGAGGGTGTGCGCCCACCGCCTGGCCCCTGTGGACAACGTCAACAAGCTGCTCCTCATTGACTACACGGCCCGGCGCCTCGTGGCCTGTGGCAGCATCTGGCAAGGCATCTGCCAGTTTCTGCGGCTTGATGACCTGTTCAAGTTGGGCGAGCCACACCGCCGCAAGGAGCACTACCTGTCAGGGGCCCAGGAGCCGGACTCCATGGCCGGCGTGATCGTGGAGCAGGGCCAGGGGCCCAGCAAGCTGTTTGTGGGCACCGCCGTCGATGGCAAGTCCGAGTACTTCCCAACCCTGAGCTCCCGCAAGCTCCTGGGCGACGAGGGCAGCGCCGACATGTTCAGTCTGGTGGGTGAGCTGTGGCCGCCTGGGCCCCCACTTCTACTCACCCCTTGGGCTCCTTGGAGGCCTGGGTGCTAGGGAGTGGCCTGTCCCTGTGATGCGCAGGTCTCTGAGGCTGGGTGGCGACCAGGCCGGGGGACTGGCCATGCGCGGGCCACCTCACTCTGGTCTCTCCTCTCCCATCCAGGTGTACCAGGACGAGTTTGTCTCCTCCCAGATCAAGATCCCCTCTGACACGCTGTCCCTCTACCCTGCCTTCGATATCTACTACATCTATGGCTTCGTGAGCGCCTCCTTCGTCTACTTCCTGACCCTGCAGCTGGACACCCAGCAGACCCTCCTGGACGCAGCTGGCGAGAAGTTCTTCACCTCCAAGATTGTGCGCATGTGCGCGGGGGACTCGGAGTTCTACTCGTACGTCGAGTTCCCCATCGGCTGCTCCTGGCACGGCATAGAATACCGCCTGGTGCAGAGTGCCCACCTGGCCAAGCCGGGCCTGCTTCTGGCACAGGCGCTGGGCGTGCCAGCCGACGAGGACGTCCTCTTCACGATCTTCTCCCAGGGCCAGAAGAACCGGGCCAGCCCGCCCCGGCAGACTGTCCTCTGCCTCTTCACCCTCAGCAGCATCAACGCCCACATCCGCCGCCGCATCCAGTCCTGTTACCGGGGAGAGGGCACGCTGGCACTGCCCTGGCTCCTCAACAAGGAGCTGCCCTGCATCAACACCGTGAGCCCCTGGCTGCCCTGCCCTGCCCTCCCCAGGGTGCCCACCCCACCCACTATTCCCCTGACCCCACTGGGGGCTGCTCCTGCTCCCTTCTGGCAATGGGGCTGATGGGGCCAAGGCGGAGGCACAGGCTCCCCACGGCCCGGGCTCATGTGCACCCCCTCTGCCCCTCCCCGCAGCCCATGCACATCAATGGAAACTTCTGTGGACTGGTGTTGAACCAGCCACTGGGTGGCCTGCATGTGATCGAAGGCTTGCCCCTGCTGGCTGACAGCACCGATGGCATGGCCAGTGTGGCCGCGTACACCTACCACCAGCACTCAGTGGTCTTCATTGGGACACGCAGCGGAAGTTTGAAGAAGGTGGGCCTGGAGTCCCTTGACATGTAGGACTAGGGGAATGGAGCCTGGACAGTGGACGGGGTATGGCAGGCATCAGGAAGGAGGGCTCCGCAGGTGGTCCTGCAATCACCTTACCCCCTTGGCAACTCCACTGCTTGCAGCTGCCTGCCCCTCGAGCGGGGCTGGGGAATCCTGTATGTGGATTCCTTAGTCTGTGACATGGAAACAGACACCCCTCTCTGTTTCCCACTGGGATGCACCCCTCTCCTCCTCCTCCAGATGGGACTTTCCTGACATCAAATCCCTATTCCCATCCTACAGGATTCCATGGGAAGGCAGGGCTGCTAGGGTCAGTCCTGTCTGGGATAGTCGGGCTGTCTGGGGCTGAAGGCATTCTCTGCTGGTCACCTGGTCCCTGCAGCCTGTCTGCTGAGAGGAGGAGACATCACGGTGGGGGACGCTGCTGAGCCCTGGGCACCTGCTCCAGTCCTGAGCTCTTTTCTGGTTTTAGGTTTTTAGGCATAATGGGCAGACTATATCACTCACACCCTTGCCCCCAGGAGTAGCATCCAGTGCATTTTAGAATATTTTCTGAGTGGTGTAGCCATCCCCACCATTAAATTCTAAAAGAAAATGGCACCTGTTAGCCAACCGTGTGACACCCACCCCCTTTCCTTGCTGACCATGGTGTCCTGGGGGCCTCTGGCAGGTGGCCTTGGCACCTCTTCTCTGAGCTGTAGGAGGCTGTGGGCAGCCTCTGACTTGAGCTTGGTTACCTGACTGACGAGCGTTCTGGTCTTATGGCCTAGGTACGGGTTGACGGTTCTCACGATGCCCACCTATATGAGACGGTCCCCGTGGTGGAGGGCAGCCCGATCCTCCGAGATCTGCTCTTCAGCCCTGACCACCAGTACATCTACCTCCTGAGTGAGAAGCAGGTGGGTGCACAGTGGGCCAGGGCAGGGTGGGGTCGGGCCCTGCCAGGTGCTGATGAGCCTGTCCCCAGGTGAGCCAGCTCCCGGTGGAGACCTGTGAGCAGTACCCGAGCTGTACGACCTGCCTGGGCTCTGGGGACCCGCACTGCGGCTGGTGCGTGCTGCAGAACAGGTGAGGGGCCGGACTGCTGCTCTGGGGAGTTGGGGACTCAGGAGAGCTGCCACCGACCTGAGGAGGGCAGAGCCCGCCTTCCCCAGTTGTGCCCCTGTGTCTGTCTGCTCCCTCCGCCATTCTTCACCTAATGAGTGGAACCTCCAGGGATGTCCCCTGGACCCCAGGAGCAGAGGGCCGGCACACTGTTGCCTGGCAGCTTGGGCCGGGCTGTCTCCTGTCCCCACCACGCCCCTGGCCCAGGGCCCTCCGGAGGCAGCTCGGATGGATCCTGGCCTGTGTCCGAGCAGGTGCTGCCGAGAAGGGGCCTGTCCAGGAGCCTCTGCCCCATATGGCTTTGCTGTGGAATTGAGCAAGTGTGTCCAGGTGCGAGTTCGGCCCAACAACGTGTCGGTGACATCACTGGGGGTGCAGGTAGGTTGGGGGTCGGAAGGGTGTGGCCCGAGGATGCTGCACTCTGAGGGATGGTCCGCCTTCTGCACCTTCCCCCTGCTCTGAGCCTTCTGACCCCACAGCTGACTGTAGCCATGCACAACGTGCCAGACCTCAGTGCGGGTGTCAGCTGTGCCTTTGAGGAGGTGACTGAGAGCCAAGCCCTCCTGCTGCCCTCAGGCGAGCTGCGATGCCCCTCACCCTCCCTCCAGGAGCTGCGGGCGCTCACTCGAGGGCATGGTCAGTGGGCTGGGGCCACCGGGGGTGGGGGTGCCCCCTCTTGGTGCCTCTGCTCATGCCCAGTCCCTGCTGCAGGGGCCTCCCGCACTGTGAGGCTGCAGCTGCTGTCCAAGGAGACCGGCGTGCGCTTTGCCGGGGCCGATCTTGTCTTCTACAACTGCAGTGTCCTCCAGTCGTGAGTTCCGGCGCCTGGGACCTCAGGGCCCCTGGCAGAGCTCCCACCTCTGTGTATCTGAGGGAGGGGTGGCGAGGCGGCGGTCTGGTATTCTCTTATTTCTGAAGTCACATCCTCACCAGGTGTATGTCCTGCGTCGGCAACCCTTACCCTTGCCACTGGTGTAAGTACCGCCACGTGTGCACCAGCCGCCCCCACGAGTGTGCCTTTCCGGAGGACTGGGTCCGCAGCACCGAGGTGAGGCAGGGCTCTCCCTGTGAAGCCCCAGCCCACTGCTTGGCTGAGTCACTGAGGGTGACTGGTGCCCTTCTTAGGACTGCCCAGAGATTCTGTCCAGCGGGGACCTCCTGATCCCGGTTGGCGTCATGCAGCCTCTCACACTGCGGGCCAAGAACCTGCCGCAGCCTCAGTTGGGCCAGAAGAACTACGAGTGCGTGGTCCGTGTGCAGGGCCGCCAGCAGCGCGTGTCCGCCACCCTCTTCAACAGCAGCAGTGTGCAATGTCACAATGCCTCGGTGAGGCCCACGCGCAGGGCAGGCTTGGACCTGGGACCTCCAGCCCATCCGGGTGCAGGGGTGGCAAGGAGCAGGGGCGGGGCGCAGGCCGTTCCGGGAGTCACAAAGGCTTCTCCCCCTACCCCAGTACTCCTATGATGGTGACGAGCAGGGTCACGTGGAGCTGGACTTCTCTGTGGTCTGGGACGGGGATTTCCCCATCGACAAGCCTTCCAGCTTTCGAGGTGAGACTTCGGGGAGGACCTCACTGCTCACTCCCCCGGAGGGAGTTGGGTGCCCTGTGCTCTGCCGGCACCCCTGCAGTAGTGCTCCTGTGCCCACAGCCCTCCTGTATAAGTGCTGGGCGCAGCGGTCCAGCTGCGGCCTCTGCCTCAAGGCCGATCCGCGCTTCAACTGTGGCTGGTGCATCTCTGAACACAAGTGCCAGCTGCGCGCCCACTGCCCAGCGCCCAAAACCAACTGGATGCACACAAGCCAGAAGAGCCCTCGCTGTAGTCACCCGCGTGTCACACAGGTTTGTGCCACAGCTGCTGCCGCTGCCACCACAGCCCTTGGGCTGCCAGTGACCTACACTGACTGCATTCCTGATCCTGCCCTGCAGGTCCACCCACTCATGGGTCCCAAGGAAGGGGGCACCCGAGTCACCATCGTGGGTGAGAACCTGGGCCTCACGTCAAAGGAGCTGGGTCTGCGGGTAGCTGGCGTGCGCTGCAACGCCATCCCTGCTGAATATGTCAGCGCTGAGAGGTGAGTGTGACGTGGAGCCCAGGCCCCACTCGCCAGGGCAGGCGCCTGCTCACCTTCTCTGCCTCTCAGGATTGTGTGTGAGATGGAGGAGTCGCTGGTCCCCAGCCCACCCCCGGGGCCCGTGGAGCTGTGTGTCGGAGACTGCTCAGCTGATTACCGCACGCAGTCAGAGCAGCTCTACACCTTCGTGGTATGTGGACGCCCATCTGTCCCCTGCTGGGTTCTGGGGGTGACGCAGCCCTGCCCAAGGCTGGCTCCACCCTCCCCTCAGAATGGCTTCTCCTACAGACGCCGACCTTCCACCGAGTAAGCCCAAGCCGGGGTCCGGCAGCCGGGGGCACACGGCTCACCATCTCAGGCAGCTTTCTGAATGCTGGCAGCAAGGTCACGGTGACTGTACGAGATGGCGAGTGCCAGTTTGTGAGGTGGGTAAGGCCCAGGGCAGGTGTCCCTGGCTGGGTCTGTGGGGTATGGAGTGGGGCACTGGGCTGGCTGAGCAGGGGCCCAGGCCCCTTTTGCAGCTCTGAATTCACAGCTGCTGCCCCCAGGAGAGACCGGGAGTCCATTGTCTGTATCTCACCGGGCTCCACCCTGGGCCCCAGCCAAGCCTTCATCACGCTCACCATTGACCGGGCCAACATCTCCAGTCTTGGGGTAATTTACACCTACACTCAGGACCCCACTGTAACTCGCCTGGAGCCCACCTGGAGCATCATCAAGTAAGAGCCTGGGAAGCATGGCTTGGTCTGAGGGCTGGGGCACACGTCATTTACTCCAGCATTTGAAGGGTCCTGGGGTGGCAGAGGAAGGAGCCTGAGGCCCTGTCCTGTCCCCAGTGGCAGCACTGCCATCACTGTGAGCGGGACTCACCTGCTAACAGTCCAGGAACCTCGAGTTCGGGCCAAATACCGAGGCATTGAGACGACCAATGTGAGTACCAGCTCCCTTGCTTGGTGCAGCTCCCCGGCCGGGACCCTCCCCTCGGCATCTCCCGGACTGCTGGGCTGCCCATACTTGTCCCCACAGACGTGCCAAGTGATCAATGACACGGCCATGCTGTGTAAGGCCCCTGGGATCTTCCTGGGCCGACCCCAGCCACGGGCTCAAGGGGAGCATCCCGACGAGTTCGGCTTCCTGCTGGACCATGTGCAGACCGCCCGCTCCCTCAACCGCTCCACCTTCACCTACTACCCCGATCCCAGCTTTGAGCCACTTGGGCCCTCTGGTGTCTTGGATGTCAAACCTGGCTCCCACGTGGTGCTAAAGGTACCTGGGAGGGGCGGGAGGAGCTTGGCCACAGCCCGGAGGGGCTTTGAGGGAGGGGAGTGGAGCTCGGAAGCAGGGGTGGCATCCACTTCCAAAACTCCATGCCTCCGGAAACTCTATGAACTTGGAGAAACGATAGTAGATAGTATCGAAAGGCTTCAGGTCTTTTGTTCATAGGGTCGCTATGAGGCCTGTTCGACTGACGGGAAGCCACAACAGTGGTGCTGGGAGGGCTGTGGGCGTGGCCAGGAGGCAGGGCGGAGCCTGGGCTGATGCTCCGCCCTTCCACCAGGGCAAGAACTTGATCCCTGCAGCCACAGGCAGCTCCCGCCTCAACTACACCGTGCTGATTGGGGGCCAGCCCTGTGCACTGACAGTCTCAGACACGCAGCTCCTATGCGACTCGCCCAGCCAGACGGGCCGGCAGCCGGTCATGGTGGGTGAGGGTGGGCAGGGTGGAGGAGGGCAGCTTGGAGCGAGGGGTGGCTGCTCACCCGGGGTCTGCCCGCAGGTGTTGGTGGGCGGCTTGGAGTTCTGGCTAGGCACGCTGCATATCACGGCCGAGCGGGCGCTGACCATGCCGGCCGCGGTGGGCCTGGCCACGGGGGGCGGGCTCCTGCTGCTGGTCATCGCCGCCGTGCTGGTAGCCTACAAGCGCAAGACTCAGGACGCTGACCGCACCCTCAAGCGGCTGCAGCTGCAGATGGACAACCTGGAGTCTCGTGTGGCCCTGGAGTGCAAGGAAGGTGCCTAGTGTGGAAGGCCAGGGACGGGAGGGCAGAGGACCTGGGGCGGCCAGGTGGCCGCTGGGCCCTATTGCTCACACTTCCTCCCCCTCCCGCCCCAGCCTTCGCTGAGCTGCAGACGGACATCAACGAGCTAACGAACCACATGGACGGGGTGCAGATCCCCTTTCTGGACTACCGCACCTACGCCGTTCGCGTGCTCTTCCCGGGCATCGAGGCCCACCCGGTGCTCAAGGAGCTGGACGTGAGACCCCCTCCCCTTCCTGCCCTCCCCCACTCCTTCCCTCAAGGGCGTCCCCCAGACTCCCTGCTCCCCACAGACGCCCCCCAATGTCGAGAAGGCCCTGCGCCTCTTTGGACAGCTGCTGCACAGCCGCGCCTTCGTGCTGACCTTCATCCACACTCTGGAGGCCCAGAGCAGCTTCTCCATGCGCGACCGTGGCACTGTGGCCTCGCTCACCATGGTGGCCCTTCAGAGCCGGCTCGACTACGCCACTGGGCTGCTCAAGCAACTGCTGGCGGACCTCATTGAGAAAAACCTCGAGAGCAAGAACCACCCAAAGCTGCTACTGCGCAGGTGCTGTGCTGCCCGCCTGGCCTTGGGCTCTGTGTTCTCTGCCAGGCCTTCCGGTCCAGCCTTGGCTAGTCTGGTCACCTGCCGGGCCCCGCCCCTATAAGGCCCCGCCCCTGCACGTTGATTGGTCGGTTTCACTGCAGGGCCCAGCACCTGAGCACCTCTCTCTGCTCTAGGACGGAGTCAGTGGCAGAAAAGATGCTCACCAACTGGTTCACGTTCCTGCTGCATAAATTTTTGAAGGTGGGTCTGAGAGGCGGGTGGCCGGGCGGGTGTGGGCTGGCTGCAGACGGACAGTGGCGAGCTCTGCACCTGGCTGGCCGCAGGAGTGCGCCGGAGAGCCGCTCTTTTTGCTCTACTGCGCCATCAAGCAGCAGATGGAGAAGGGCCCCATCGACGCCATCACAGGCGAGGCTCGCTACTCCCTGAGTGAGGACAAGCTCATCCGGCAGCAGATCGACTACAAGACGCTGGTGAGGGTCTGGGCTTGGCAGGCAGGACGGGGCATGGCCTGCCGCAGTACTGACCCCTGCCTGGATCCGTCAACCCTCAGACCCTACACTGCGTGTGCCCAGAGAGTGAAGGCAGCACCCAGGTTCCTGTGAAGGTTCTTAACTGTGACAGCATCACCCAGGCCAAAGACAAGCTGCTAGACACCATGTACAAGGGTGTTCCCTATTCCCAGCGCCCCAAAGCCGAGGACATGGACCTGGGTGAGGCTTGTCCCCCTCCAGCCTGGGCCATCTGGTAACCCCTACTCCCCACCATGCTCTATCACTGCCCAGGGTTCAGGGGCTCTGGGTGGCTGAGGGGGAACCTCATGGCCATCTGTGGCCCACAGAATGGCGCCAGGGCCGCATGGCCCGCATCATTCTCCAGGATGAAGATGTTACCACCAAGATTGAGTGTGACTGGAAGAGGGTCAACTCGCTGGCTCACTACCAGGTGAGGGGCTCCTCCCTGCTTTCACAGCGAGGTGGCAGCAACAGCTGGTGGCTCTGGTGCCTTGTACTGTCCCTTCTCTTTCTCGGGGTCTCTAGGTGACAGATGGTTCCTTGGTGGCACTGGTGCCTAAACAAGTCTCTGCCTATAACATGGCCAATTCTTTCACCTTCACCCGCTCTCTCAGCCGCTATGGTGAGTCCTTCAGTGTGCCCTCGGAGGCCCTAGAGGTGGTGAGGGGGCTTTGCTGGCCGGCCTGCTCGGCTCCCGAGGCTTTCCTGGGCCCTGCCTTTGGGAACTGCCCAGTTCTGAGCGTAGAAATGGGATGGATCAGAGGCCTGGACACCACGGGCAAGACCGGCCTCAGAGGAGCCGCAGCTGAGCGCTGTGCCAATCCTCTGCTCAGAGAGCTTGCTGCGCACGGCCAGCAGCCCCGACAGCCTGCGCTCGAGGGCACCTATGATCACGCCCGACCAGGAGACGGGCACCAAGCTATGGCACCTGGTGAAGAACCATGACCACCTGGACCAGCGTGAGGGTGATCGTGGGAGCAAGATGGTCTCGGAGATCTACCTCACGCGACTGCTGGCCACCAAGGTGGGCTGTGCGGCCCCGTCACACCCTGCCACCCACAGGCTGCCTGGCCTATCTGGGGAGGGGCTTTGGCTCTGTAGAATTTAGCGAGTCTCCCTCAATACCTTGGTGTGGAAATTTCCAGTTCAGAAATGTCACCGTGCCTGTGCCCTTGCTGGCTTCCGCAGGGCACTCTGCAGAAGTTTGTGGACGACCTCTTTGAGACCGTGTTCAGCACAGCCCACCGCGGCTCTGCGCTCCCGCTGGCCATCAAGTACATGTTTGACTTCCTGGACGAGCAGGCTGACCAGCGGCAGATCAGTGACCCTGATGTGCGGCACACCTGGAAGAGCAACTGGTGCGCACCACCAGGATGGTGATGGGCAGGGTGTGAGCGGACAAATGGGGAGGAGGCCGCACTCCCCTTTGTGGTCAATGAAGGTGGCAGGGAACTGGCCGGGGCAGGCAAGGCAGAGGAGTGAGCCTGGTATCAGCTCCAGTGACAGCAGCAGGGGATGGGGCTGAGATCCGCCAAGAGCAGAAAAGGGGCGACTTCTTTTATTTCACTTCCTGGAGACCCCCAGAAAGAAGTCCTGGGAGCATAGTGCGTGAGGATTTGGAGCAACTTGAAGGCAGCAGGTGGCGTCAGTGGGCATGCCACAGGCTTCCTTGATGGTGCTGGTGACATTGGCCCTCCCATAGTCTGCCACTGCGCTTCTGGGTGAACGTCATCAAGAACCCACAGTTTGTCTTCGACATCCACAAGAACAGCATTACGGATGCCTGTCTGTCAGTGGTGGCCCAGACCTTCATGGACTCCTGCTCCACGTCCGAGCACCGCCTGGGCAAGGACTCGCCCTCCAACAAGCTGCTATATGCCAAGGACATTCCCAGCTACAAGAGCTGGGTGGAGAGGTGGGTGCAGGGACAGTGGGGTCCCAGCTTAGGTGGAAAGGCCCTGAAATTGGTCTGGCCGGGGAGAGGGTGGGGCTTGGCCTTTGTGGTCTCTACCTATGTGACCTCCATGGGGCTTCTACAGGTACTACCGGGACATTGCAAAGATGGCATCCATCAGCGACCAGGACATGGATGCCTACCTGGCCGAGCAGTCCCGCCTGCATGCAAGCGACTTCAATGTTCTGAGTGCGCTCAGTGAGCTGTACTTTTATGTCACCAAGTACCGTCAGGAGGTGCGTGCTGCCCTGAGCCAGGGCAGTGACAAGGGCCTGGTGGGGAGTGAGAAGGCCACAGGGAGACAGAGGGACAGCAGGGGCACAGACCAGCTCTTGGATGGTTCTACAATGTGAACCTCCATAGAGACAGGTCTTTTCAGGGACCCAGGAGAGAGGCCACTGGTTGGGGCACGAGGTTCTAGTTGGACAGAGTTAGGAGTGAAGAGCAGGGTAGGGTCCCCGGGCATCAGACGGCCGAGAGTAGAGCTGCAGATGGAGAGCGTGGGTCCTCAGGTTTCATGTGCTGCTGAGAGGTCAAGTTCAAGGAACCTTGCAGAGTTTGGCTGTCAGAAGGCAAAATTGGGAGGTGGGGTGGGCAGAGGTGCAGGTGCTCGCAGAAACTGGGGAGTGGCAAGGATGGCTATCTCTTGTGCTCGGAGTCCTGTAGGAGGGGAGCGCTCCCCCAGGAACCTGTCACACTCCCCATTCGCAGATCCTGAGTGCCCTGGACCGGGATGCCTCTTGTCGGAAGCACAAGTTGCGCCAGAAGCTGGAACAGATCATCAGCCTTGTGTCCAACAACAGCTGAGGGCGGCACAGCTGGGCAAGGAGGGGCCTTCTGCATTCTGAGCTGCCCTCGCTAGAAGGCAGGCCCATGTCTGGTCCCCAGTGTGAGACTTGGAGCAGGTGCACGGGGCACACCTGGGCCCCCTTCACTAGTGCCTTGCTTTGGGCCCTGAGAGGGGGGTGAGGGAGACGGGACCAAGCAATAGCCTCGTCCTCCTGCCCAACTGCCCAGGTGTGGCGGTAGCCCCTGCCTCCTTCCTCTTCCTACCCCACCGTCTATTTATTTAATTTAATTCCATCTCACTGTTTCTGTCTGTAAATGTGGCCATCCCGGGAGGCTGTGGACCTTATCTTCTTCCTCTCCACCTGTCCTGGGTCCCTGGTGATACACCAGCTGTGACCCATCCCTCCCTGGAAGCGAGGCTTCAGCGCCAGCAGACATGAATGGGTAATGCATCTGAAACTGTGCCAAGGGCCTCTGCCTGCTGGCCACCTGTGGCGGGAGGCAGGCTCTCCACCAGGGGCCCTTTGCTCTCTGAGCATCTGGAGAACAGTAACCAGGCGAGTGGCCAGCTGACCAGGCCTGAGGACACGGGCTGCTCCTTTTCCCAGCCCACTGCCAAACGTCCTCAGTGCTGTCTGCACTTGCCCTGGACACTTGGCTCTCAGCTGCCCTGGGGGCTGAGGTGGCCGTGCCTTACTCCTCCAGTCCTCTGCCTCTCCTGAGCAGCCTGGCCCATCCATGTCCTGGACCCCAGTCCTCTCCTCTTGGGTTGCATGACTTTTTGTTCATGGAATGTTTTCCTTTTGCTAATTAAATGTTAGGAAAATGGTGTCAGTCTGTGTCTTTGCCAGTGTGGGCAGGTGGGAGGTGATTAACATGGACCCAGCAGCCCTAAGACACTCTACGGTAGAGAGGGTAAATGGATCCCAATGTTACCAAGGACTTGAGTTCACAATCATCTCCATCACATCAGCAAAGCATGAGGATTCACCTTCTGATTCTATCCAGAATCTGCTCAACTGTTGCCCGCCCCCCCCCCCCCGGTCCAAGCCACCAGTCTCCCGCTTTCTGCGACTCCCTCTCAGTGAGAGAGGCAGGCAGGCAGGGGAACCCGCTAAGATGGAAGGCAGATCAGGTCACTACTCTTTTCAAGACTTCCAAGCAACCTCAACTGCAACCATACTCCTAAAGCACGTTGGGTACTGCAGTTCTGTCCCCAGAAACTTGGGCCCACATTTGGGAGTGCACTTATTCAGCCTTCTTCAGTATTTGTTGAGGTGGCATGATCCCTTTAACCATTCATCCATTGATGGACACTCTTTGATATTGTAAATAATGCTACAATAATCATGGCGGGAGGGAGCTCTGGTGGCCAACCAGAAAGCACAAGGTTTAAATCTACCAGCTCCTCCTATATGATCTACAGTCTCTGAAAACCTGTCAGAGGGTCAGCTGGGAGTTGATTCCGACTCTGTGACACATAACAACAATCATGGTGGACATACCTATCAGTTTGTGTCACGGCTCTTATTTCTTCAGGATAATCTCACTTTGTAATGGAATTGTTTCATCAACTGGTATTTCCCACTTTCAGCTTCTTAAAGGATGCCAAACTGCCTTCCCTACTGGTCGCACTGATTCCTATCAACAGTGTATAGGGTTTTCTTCTTGGACTTTGCTGTCATTGCTGGGTAAGATCGCTCATTTTGATTTGCATCTCTGTTGTTGTTGGGTGCCATCAAGTTGACTACGACCTCTAGCGCCCCTATGAGCAACATATCTGAACCCTGCTCTATCCTGCGCCATCCTCACACTCTGACACACTAGAGCCCATTATGGCAGCCACGGTGTGAAGCCATCTGGTTGAGGGCCTTCCCCTCCTTAGCTGACCCTCCGCCTTTCCAAGCATCATGACCCTCTCCAAAGAATAGCCTCTTCTAGCAACATACTAGAAGTCTGTGTGGTGGAGCTTCATCATCTTTGCCTCCATGGAGTGCTCTGGCTGCACCCTCTCCAAGAAATCTGTTTGTTCTTGGCAGTCCGTGGGATGTTGAGTGCTCATCTCCAACAGCTCAAAGGCATCAACTCTTCTGTCATCCTTATTCATTGTCCAGCTCTCAGATGCATAGCAAGTGATAGGAGAGACTGAGTCAGATGCACCTTAGTCTTCAAACTGATATCAAAATATTGAAGGTATTTTGGAGAGGTCCCTGACTGCAGGCTTTCCCAATACAAAATGTCACCTGATATCCTGACTGCTGGCGCTCACTGCGGATCCAAGTAAGATGAAGTTGTTCGCTATTTGAATCTTTTCTCCATCTGTCATGAGGCCCAGTGGTGAGAATTTTTGTTTTCTTGACATTGAGATGGAATCTATGTATTCTTTGATCTGTTGCAACAAGTGTTTGAAGTCCTCTGTACTTTCCACAAGCAAGGTTGTGCCTTCTGCATATCACAAGTTATGGATGAGTCTCCCTTCAACGCTGATGCCACATTTTTCTTCATTGAGTCCAGTTTCTTGAATAATTTGCTCAGCATACAGATTGAATAGGCATGGAGAGAGAATACCACCCAGACACACTCCCTTCTCAATTTTAAATCACATAGTGTTTCCTTGCTCTGTTCACACAACAGCTTCATGGTCTAGGTGTAGGTTTCACATGAGCACAGTTAAGTACTCTGGGATTCCCATTGTTCGCAATGTTAGCCATAACCTTTTTTTAAAAAAAAATTTTGCCGGTTCGAATCCACCAGATGCTCTGCTGGAGAAGGAGGAACAATCTCCTCCTGTACCAGTCAGATCTGATTTGACGGTACACACACACACACACAAAATAATGAAATAAAATTTAAAAAAAATTTGCCTCTTTCTTGTTGTGTACCATAGAATCAGATCCAATTGGCGCAGGAGATTGATGTTCCTCCTTCTCCAGCAGAGCATCTGGTAGATTCGAACCGCATGCCTTTGGGATTGCAGCACAGCATTTTAGCTCTAGGCCACCAGAGCTCCCTAGCTATAACTTATTATGATCCACTCAGTCAAATGCCTTTGCATCATGAATAAAGCATAAATAGACATATTTCTGGTATTTTTTGCTTTCAGCTAGGATCCATCTGACAGCAATGACATCCCTGGTGCCATGGCCTCTCCTAAATCCTGCTTGAACTTCTGGCACTTCCCTATCTATATACTGTTATAGCTGTTTTTGAATGATCTTCGGCACTATTTTGCTTGCATATGATATTAATGTTATTGTTCAATAGTTTCCACATTTTGTTGGGTCACTTCTCTTGGGAATGGGAACAAATATGGACCTCTTCCAATTCCTTGGTCACCAAATTTCCTGGCACAGACTGGTGAGCACATCCAGGGCTGCATCCGTTAGTTGAAACAAAGCAATTGGCATCCCATTGGTTCCTGGGGCCTTATTTTTTGCCAATGCCTACAGTGCAGCTTCTACTTCCTCCTTCATTACCATTGGGTCCTGCTCATATGGTACTTCCTGAAATTTCTCAATGTCAGTTCGTTTGGGTACAGTGATTCCGTGTATTACCTCCATCTTCTTTTGATGCTTTCTGGGTGATTCAATACATTGCCCTTAGCATTTTTCAATATTTCAACTCAAAGCTTAAATTTGCTTTTCAGTCCTATCAGCTTGAGAAATGCAGAGTGAGTTCTTCCCTTTTTATGCTCCAATTCCAGCTCTCCACACATTCCATTATAATACTTTGTCTTCTTGAACTGCCCTTTGAAATCTCTGTTCAGCTCTTTTACTTTGGTATCTTTTTCTTTTGTTTTGGCTTCATGACACTAGTTCAAGTTTCAGAATCTCTTCTGACATTTATTTTGGTTTTTCTTTCTCCTATGTCTTTGTAATGACATTTCACTCTCTTCATCCCACAAGCTCATCTGATCTGCAATCACTGGTGTTCAATGCTTCACACCTATTCTTAAGATGATTTTTTAAACTTGGTGCCTCTTAGTCTCTAGACTGACATCACTGCTCTTCAGCACTCTGGAGAGGTCCCGGACAGCAGCAGATTGTCCCTATGCAGTTCGTCTTTTGATTTAATGACTGCTGGTGCCAAGAGTGTTGATTGTGGAGCCAAGCAAGCTGTAATTGCTAACAACCTCAATCTCTTCTCCATCCATCATGGTGCTGCCAATTGGCCCAGTAGTGAGACTCTTTGTCTTCTTGATGTTGAACGTCAATCCATACTGAAGAAGCTTCAATCCATAGCTTCTTGACCTTCTGCAGCAAGCACTTCAGGTCTTCTTCAGTTTCAGTAAGCAAGGTTGTGTCTTCTGCATAATGTAGGTTGTTGATGAGTGTTCATCCAATCCTGATGCCACATTCCTCCTCATCAAGCCCAGGCTTCTAAATGATCTGTTCTTCATATAGATTGAAAGGTATGGAGACAAGGACCATCCCTGAAAAACTCCTTTCCTGATTTTGAACCATCCAGTGATTCCTTGCATTGTTCTGTTCTGAGGACTGTTACCTGGCCCAAGTGTAGGTTTGTCCTAGCTTTCGGTATCACAGCAGCTCACAAGTTATCTCTGTACAGCAAACAGACAAGTGCTGTATCAATTAGAACAAAATATTCCCCAAATAGAGCAAACTGACAATTTTCGTTTGAGTCGCAACTCGATGGTACATAACATCAATGAGGGAGCTCTGGTGGCACAGTAAGGAGTTGTATTAACCCATAAGTCCTGCCTCTCTGGCAGCTGGAAACAACCAGCAACTCTATGCTACTTACAGCCTCAGAAAGACAATGGAGGGTTGCTGGAAGTAGGTTCCAAATCAAACGCATTGAATTTGGTGAATATCTGAAAAAGTCCACATCGCCTCTTCCCTCCAATTGCCTCCTTTAGTCCCTCATCTCCCTCTCTGGATCATTATCCACAGAACTCCCTCTTTTTTTTTTTTAAGAACAGTGAGGCAGTCTGTCCCCAGTAAGATCCATGGAAACCGTGGTTCTCCCTTCCTACCATGCTCATTAGCAAGGAGACAAGTATTTCCTCCATGAAGGGAGGAGGGACAAGGCCTGTGGCCATGTTAGTAGGGGAGGTAGGAGAATTCTCTGGTTCATTTCAAATACACAAGAGTCTTCCTTCAAATGAAAACAATACTAAAGAAAAACACAAATCAATAACCTGTGTTATGCAGACCCAACCTTGCTTGCTGAAAGTGAGGAGTGCTTGAAGCACTTGTTACAGAAATCATGGAATGCAGCCTTCGGTAATGGATTGCATCTCAGTGTCAAGAAAACAAAGATTCTTACCACTGGACCAGTTGTGAGCATCATGATGAATGGCGATGGAGAGGACATTCCAACTGTCAATAGCTTCATCTTGCTTGGATCCACAATTAACACCCTTGGTACTAGCAGTCGGGAAATCTGAAGTTAGGGACCTCTCCATATTATTGAGGAGTGATGATGTCAGTTGAAGACTAAGGTGTGTCTGTTTCAGGTCATACAGTCTTTCTGATCACTTGCCATGCATCTGAGAGCTGGACAATGAATAAGGATGACAGGAAAAGAATTGATGCCTTTGAGCTGTGCTGTTGGAGCAGAGCACTGAACACCCCTTGGACGGCCAAGAGAACAGGTGTGTCTGGGAGAGGGTGCAGCTGGAGTGCTCTTTCGAGGCAAGAATGATGAGGCTTTGCCTCACATCCTTCGGGCATGTTACTAGGAGAGGCTATTCCTTGGAGAAGGACATGATGCTGGGAAGGGTGGAGGGTTGGCGAAGGAGAGGAAGACCCCCCCCCACCAGGTGGACTGACAGTGACTGTTGCAATGAGTCCTTGTGTGTCAGGTGTGATGATAGTGCAGGACAGGATAGAGTTCAGATCTGTTGTTCGCTCAACTTGGGGATGCTAATGGGTCTGTGTAGCAGAAGAAATCAAGGATAGTCCCTGGTTTTGGCAATTGCCCAAACATACTGTTTCCCCCTGAAAGAACTGAAACAAGTTCAATAAGCTGCAAAATTATTCTAGTGTTTTGGGGTTGTTTGCTCTCCTTAATACAATTTTACATTTTTAGCTCTGCCTCACTTACTTTGGGAATGTGGCCAGGAGAGACTGGTCCTTGGAGAAGGACGTCATGCTCAGAAGGGTGGACAGACAGCGCAGGAGAGGAAGACCACAGATGAGATGAATTGATAACAGTAACTGGGACAATGGGGGTTGGTGTGTCGGAGTCAGTGAGACTGGCTCAGGACGAAGGGTTCAGAGCTGCCGTACATAGGGTAGCTACATATTGCAGACGACTCAATGGCACATAACAACATACTATGACAGGTTTGGAAGCAGGAGTGGCATCCACTTCCTAAACAATATGCCTCTGGAAACTCCATGAACTTTGCTAAATGTCAATAGTTGTAGAGGGGATTCAGGACTTTTGTTCATATAGCATCACTATGAGTCGTGCTGGACTTGAAGGCAATCAACAAAAACAACAACAATACAATTTTAGGGTGGAAGTGTTGAGTGTCACAGGAAGTGGATCCTGAGGAAAACTAGAATTCTGGTGGTGGCTTTATTTTATTGAGTGATTGTGTCCTGTATATCACAAGTCTTAAATAAACAGTAAAGGAAATATTTCACTCAGGTCTAACTCTTGAAATCCAGCTTAAATAGTCACGCATTCAAACAGTGACACACAAGATACCTCTAACAAAGATGAAAAGAAAAGAAAGCAAATGCTTTTCAATTACACTGTAATGTATCTTTTCAGGACTTTGACAGGACACGACTGTCCCATTTCATTTGCCAAAGTGTCTTTCATTAGCCTGTACTTCGTGAACCTGATTCCCTGAATCTCACTTCCAACCTGAGATAAAGGGCAAGGGATTCTAGAGGTCCAGCAGCTGAAAAGGAACCCAGACGGGGAACAGAAGCAGCGGCGTTTATTGTGAGCAGGGACAAGTATTTAAGCAGCTCCCTCCTCCAGTGACAAGACCAATGCTTAGCGATAAATGGGGGGACCAAAGCGCTGCATCGTCCGCACCACCATGGAAAGGTGGTCAAGAAAGCTGATGATGGAAAGTCGGAGGAGGCGAGCGTCCTCAGCAGTCCACCTGCTAATAGCAAGGAAAAGATAAGAGGGCTTAAATGAGGAGCCTGGGCTTCGATCCCCACCTCCCATCGCAGTCAGCTGCTGTCAGTTCTCACCGTTTCAGGGGCTCCTGGGCGGCCACAGGCCCAGAGCTCCACACCCCTTCGTACCCAGCCCCCATAAGACGGATCATTACAAAGCCCCCCCCCCCCCCACTAAAGTGACGCCCAGCGCCGCCACCGCCTACAACTCACATGGCCAGGACGCTGCCGTTCACTGAGAACTCCTTGTGAATCAGCTCTCGGTGGGGCTCAGCGTCTGGGGCCAGGGCCCCACGGGCGATGTCTGCCTCCAGCGACGATCGGAAAGGCACAGTGAGCGAGCTGGTGGACACACCGTCAAGGCGCCGCCGGATGCTGGCTGTGCCTGAATCCTGGCCTCCCGTCCGCCCCGGCCACCACCAACGGCTGCTCACCCCACCCCTGGACGCTCCGGCCTTCCCACGGCCTCCCTAATCCCCAGACAGCCCAGCCACTCCTCCATCCGTTCCCGTTTTCGATCTCCTTGGGCCACTCCGTCCGCTTCTGATGCCCTTACGCCCCGACCTGGAACAGGATACAATACGTGAAGTGGGTTTTCGGGACTCCTCGGTGCCGGCTCGGCGTCTCTGCCCGGCTCGGGAGTATGCAGGACCCTTGGGTCCTGACCCACATTGTGGGCCACGGCGGGCTCCGGGCCGCGAACTCCGAGACCTCGGGCCGCCAGGGTGCCCGCACCACTCACACCACGGCTTTCGCCAGCGCCCGGGGCCTGCATGGCGCCGGCTCCGCCTCCGGCTCCGCCCCCAGCGCGCCGACCGGCCCCACACGTCCTCTCGGTAGGCGGCCCACCTAGCCACGTCCCCCTGACGTCAGCCCTCCCTTGCTTCTGTATACACCGGCGCCCCTGATGCCGGCTCCCGTGCGTGCTCTTTCCCACATAGTCTTCTGTATTGGAGTCGCGGGGCTCCTTCACCGAGATCAGTCCCTTAGCAGGGGACTCCACCCTCCGTGCGCCGGCTCCTCTGGAGGAGCCCATAAATGTAGCGTTCTTGCTTAGGGGGCCCTGCTAGAGCCCCAGGCGCCTCTGTTCGTGAGAAAAGATTGTTGCTTCGCCCCCTATACTCTGCCTTTTTTTTCTTTTTTTGCCAGCGACGCTACCCAGAGCGCCTGCGCAAACAGGCTTCCAGTAGGTCTCCAGGCGTGGGCCCAGCCCTACAGTAGGTCCTCTGGGAGCGGGCAGGGACCACACGTCTGAGACTTCCTGGCAAAGCTCCGCCCTCTAGTTCATGACTCCCCCTCAGAGTGCCTTGGAAAGGAGGCCCCCTGGCGGTACATTGGTCCCCGGGGTGCCGGCGCAGACACTACATGCTAAGGTTACTGGGTGCATGCCAGCCATGTTACAGCCTGGAAGACTCAGTTGGCCAGGGAGATGAGACTTCTGTCTCTTAACACGAGATTTCTGCCCCTCAGGCCTTGGTGAAACCTGATTCCTTGTCATTAAGGTCAGCACTATAATAGTGTTTACATTAGAAAGAGTTCTGTACATTCAATGATTTATTCATCACAAGTCCCTTTTTTTTTTAAAAAAAAAAGCACAAAAGGTAGCTTTACACATGGACCTTACATCTCACATGATAGACTGGACAGGAATAACATCACTACATATGTGGAAAGAATCACTGGAGTAATCAGTATCAGCAATTGAAACAAGGCCTTCTGGGTGCTGACTGTGGAACAGACCATCAGTTACTCGTGTGCAAGTTAAAATTGAAGCTGACAATCTAAAAAAAAAAAATTGAAGCTGAAGAAAGCTTCATCAGTGTCTGCAGTCTAAAAATACATAATGCAGCTTGTGCCAGTTCAGACTGAAGCTGAAGAAATCCTGCCAGAATTTGGAGTTTGAAACTGATTAAACATGTGCATTAATAGGTGGTGAGAATGCAAAAGTTGTAAACAAAGACTAAGGAATGGTAGTTGGAAAACAGTCTTGATGACAGAAGTGAAACTGGAGATTGGATGATACAATTCTGTGCAATCAATGATTTAATAGTTATGTTGTTGTTAAGTGCCGAGTCACAGGCGACTCATAGCGACCCTATGAAGGAGAGTCCTTAATGCTTGGGTGTCTCTCATCCTCTCCAGGTTTATAGGGTTTCCGGAGGCAAGCTATTATAAGTACTTTTAAAAAACCCGTAAGTGATGACTATACACATGGACTTTAGATGGTGGCCTACATTGTGAAAAGAGACAGTGAATATCAGCAGTCAAAACAAGGCCATGGACTGACTGTGGAATAGACCATCAGGAACTTAATATGACATGCAATGAAAATCTTGCTGAAGATTATCTTATAGCGACTGGAATAATACATTGACAGGGAACTTCTAGAAATTCAAGCTCGATTCAAAAGAGGCCACAGAATGAGGGATATCATTGCTGAAGTAAGATACATCTTAGCTGAAAGCAAAGAACACCAGAAAGAGGTTTACTTGTGCTTTACTGACCATGCAAAGGCATTTGACTGTGTATAAGAACAAGTTAGGGATAACATTGAGAAGAATGAAAATCCAGGAACACTTAATTGTGCTCATGTGAAACTTACACCTAGAGGAAGAAGCAGTTATTCGAACAGATCAAGGGAACAGTACATTGTTTGAAATCAGGAAAGATGTGTATCTGAGTTGTGTCCTTTCTCCATATCTATTCAGTTGGTATGCTGAGCAAATAATTCAAGAAGTTGGACTATATGAAGAAAAATGTGGCATCAGGATTGGAGGAAGACTCATCTGTGGGAAGCCAAATAGTAAACTGTTAAACCTAATGCTTAAGACTTAAGGGAGGCCACCTCCAACCAGGAGAAGATAAAGTAGATGGATGGGATCTTCAAAGAACCAAATCCCTATGCACATCCAAAAACTTCTCCAACAGGGTAAAAAGGGAACCAACCGATTGGGAAAAAGTATCAGATAAGGGACTTATACCCAGAATTTATAAAATACTTGAGCACCACAACATAAAGGTAAATAATCCAATAGAAAAATGGGCACAGGATATGAACAGATACTTCTCCAAAGAAGACATTCAGATGTCCAACAAGCACATGACGAAATGTTCAAAATCCCTAGCTCTAAGACAGGTGCAAATCAAAACAACTATGAGATATCATCTCACCCCAGTCAGAATAGCAGAATTTAACAGAACAGCAAGCAACAAATGCTGGCGACGTTGTGGAGAAACTGAAACCCTTATTTATTCACTGGTGGTGGAAGTGTAAAATGATGCAACCACTGTGGAAGGTGGTATGACGTTTTATCAAAAAGTTGCAAATAGAGATACCATTTGACCCAGCAATTCCACTACTGGGAATATACCCCAAAGAGACCAGAACTGACATCCAAGCAGATATATGCACACCCATGTTTATTGTGGCTTTGTTCACAATAGCAAGGAGTTGGAAACAACCTAAGTGTCCTTTATCAAATGGATAGAGAAGCTCTGGTATATTCACACAATGGAATACTATGCTGCATTGAAAAACAAGGAACTCATGCAATATTATTCAAAATGGGTGACCCTGGAGGACACTATGCTGAGTGAAGTATTTCAGTCACAAAAGGACAAATACTGCATGGTGCCACTGTTGTAGAATGGGACTGACCTTGGGGCTAGGGAGAGATTGAGAAAGATGGGTTCAATAATGTATACTGACTGCATTGCAACAGATGAGGGAGAAAATTGTTTAAAAGGGATATGTGATTAGGTATTATTGTCATGACAGGAGTCTAGAGTGAAGGCTACATGGTGGAGTGGACCTGGGGGAGGGTTTGTAAAACAATGAAAGAATTTTTCTTTTACTTTTCAAAGAGGGTAGTGTACCAGGGGGGAGGGTTGGGAGGGGAGAAAAAAAAAGAATTAAGGGAGGCACAAATACGAGCTGGAACTCCTCCTGAAACAGAACACAGGAATCAGGAGCCAAGGCAGAGCAAACAGCACCTTTTCAGTTCTTAGACTGTATTTAAAAATCCCTCCTTCCTGATATAAGCATAAGGTGGCCAACAGAAAGAGCCTAGCTTCATTTGCATAGAATTCTCTTTGTGATTTGCTCCGTGGCGATATTCAATAAAGTTACAGGGAAGCTAGATTCTGGGCTTCAATCTTCAAACTGTTCACCCCCTGCCTTACGTTCTCTCTTTTTCTCCATCCTGGGTGTCCCTGTCTCTTCTCTGTCCCTGACAACACTCATCAACAGTCTGCATTATGCGAAGGACACACGTGCTTCCTGAAAGTGGAAAAGATTTAAAATGCTTTCATATGCACATGAGATGACCGGTATACCATGACTTGAGTCAGGAGTACCTTAGGCCTTAAACTGACCTCTTTTCAGGCTACTCGATGGCACATAACAACATGATATAATATCTATTAAAGGCTATGTAGTCTTTGATCTAAGTATTTCAAGCAAGGTTGTGCCTTCTGCATCTTTCATGCATCTTCCTCTACCCCAGATGCCACACTCTTCATACAGTTATTTGCTCAATATACAGATTGAATAATTGTGGTGGAAGGATACAACCCTGACACACACATTTACTGATCTGAATTCAGACAATATGGAACAAACCTTGTTCTGTTCAGACAACTGCCTTTAGGTATATGCACAATTGTCGTGGGAGATTCCTGTCCTTCTTCATGTTAGCTATAAACAATTATTATTCATACACGTGTATAGTCAATAAAACGGAAGCAAACACCTTTTGATATCCTCTGCTTTCAACCAAGATCCATCTGACATCCCAGTTTCTTGGTCTCTTCAGAATCCAGCTTAAATTTCTGGCAATCCTTGTTCTAGCAATTAAAAATTATCAGCACCAAGATTTTACTTGTGTGAGATATTAATTCTTTATTCACTGCCACTGTGTCAGTTCTGACTTCAGAGGCTTTAAATCATAGTAGGAGGAGCGGCTGGTAGATCTAAACCACCGGAAACATGGTACGTTAGCAGTACAGCTTGCTATGGGCACGCACGCCAAAGCTCCTCAGTAGTAATGGTATTGTTGTGTAATATCTGTATTCTGTTGGAACACCTTTCTTTGGGGTGGGAGTGTGTATAAACATCTTCCAGCAGATTGGCCAGGTAACTATTCTGCATATTCTTGGCATGGACAATGAGCATGTCCAGCACTTTGGTCGGGCCTGCATCTATTTATTAACACATCTCAGTTGGTGCTTGCTTCAGCAGCACATATACCAAAATTAGAATGATACAGAAAAGATTAGCATGGCCCCTGCACAAGGATGACATGCAATTTCATGAAGCATTCCATATTTTTAAGTTGTGTTAGTTACATGGACGTCAGTTAATTAAATTTTTTCCCTCATGAAAAAAGTTTTAAAAACAAACAAACAAAACCTTCACATATTGGTTTGTAGTCTACCAATTCCTGGGGACACCTTTCTTATGGCAGAAGCATGGACTTCTACCATCAGTACCATTGATTCTTGATCAATGAGAATTGACAAATTCTTTTAGGTACAGTGATTCTGTGTACTCTGTCTTTTCTTGATGTTTCCTAAACTATTCAATATTTTGCCCATAGAATCCTTTACTATTGCAACTTGAGGCCTGAAATTGTTTTCAGTTCTTGGTTCAGTTATATGGCTCAAGATTACGAGATGACCCAGAAATTCACTTTTAGGTATTTACCCAAAAGACTTGAAAGCAGATACACTGTGATTCTTCTATTCCAATATTTATTATAGTATTAATCATAATAGCCAAAAGGACGAAACAGCCCAAGTGTCCATAAACAGATGAATTACTAAAATGTAAGGGATACACACACACACACACACACACACACACACACACATCTCACATCATCCATAAAGAGAAATGAAGTCTGGGTACATTGGACCATGATGAACCTTGGAAACATTAAGCTGAGTAAAAAGTCAGCCATAAAAGGCCACATCTTGTATGAATTCCAACTGGACGTGCAGACGTGCAGAATAGGGAAGATTAGAAACTACAAGAGGCTGCAGAGGAGTGTGGAAGTGGAGCTGTCCACCATTGTTAAAAGCCTGGTAGTTGGAGGTGGTCCATGGGTGAAGTGTGCGTATTTTCTGGTTCCTGTATCTGTCAGAGGTTACAACCTGGTGGCACTCTGCCTCTGTGGCGAACATGAACTAAGTGTCTACAGGACCTCTAGGTAGTATTTGAATTGGAGCTCCAAAGTGAGCATGGGGTAAGATGTGGAGCCAGGGGAAGGAGAGAAATGGGAGTGCTGACGATGAGAGGAAGCAGGGAAACCCTGGGGTATTGGCATTGAGATGGCCAGTGGGTGAAAGGTAGGGCAGAGCTCCCTTCGTGCTGCACCAGGACTCTGGCTTCTCCCTGAAGAGATGGGGAGTCAGGCATACCTATTCCTCCACCTGTTGAAAGACCTCACCATTTGGACCCCCCTTCACAGAATCCTTGCAGCCCCACAAGTATCATCTCCAGCTTCCACTGACCTGTCACCATGGAACCAAACCTGGATCAAAGCTACTCCAGGCCCTCCTATAACTTGTTCCTCCAGCAGCACTGGCTCCCTTTCCGAGCCTCCCTCTCCGACCTGCTAAGTCCTGCTTGGCCAATCTCACCTTGCTCACCACCACGCCACCAGCCGCTGCCACCGTCCTCCCCTGCAGAGAAGCTTCTGCAATGAGGGCTTATTGCCTCAGCCTCACCTTCTCCCCACTCTTCAACCCATCCTACGGTTGCATATCATCAGATCTTGGGAAACACCTTGACCAAGATCGCCAATGGCCACCTTAATCATCCCAAAGGAGGCTCAAGTTCCGCTCCATGACCTTCTTGTTCTGGCTTCAGGACTTAAGACTCTGCCTTTTCTCCTTGGCTTGAGATGCTGTTCAGTCTCCTTTTCTCGGTCTCCACTCTAGTTGCTGAAGTTCCTTAAGCTTCATCCTATGCTGTGGTGAGTACAGGACAGAGGCCTGCCTACGTGACCTCAAGCAGAGTCCCTGTCACGGAGAAACACTCACTTTGGGAGACAGAGGAGCGCTGTGACATGAAGGGCCAAAGTACCCCTTCCTGTCTCTTGTCCGCATCTGGCCATCATTTCCTTTTTGACCTGTTTATTTATCAGATCCATGGGAGAACCATTGGTGCAGAGATCTCACGGGCTGGAGTGAGGATGAGGAAGATGCGCTCAGACGAGAGGAATGGTGAGCACGGGCCAAGCCAAGGGCTGGGAGCCAGCATGGCACAGTTCTGTGCCCCAGGCCACACCAGAGAGCTGGGCAACTGTTCCCCCTAGCTTCCTGATCTACTTGTCCTTTATCAGAGCACCCTAAGGCTGGCTTGTCACCTGCCAGGACATATGTCAAATAGTCTCTTGTGAGGGCAGGTGGCAGGATGAGGTCCCAGGGATTAGCTCCCTCCCCTTTCGGGCATAGGAGGGAGTCCATCAGGATTTGTTCTCAGCCCTGGGAACTCTTCCAAACCACCACTGGCTGGCTCCCTCTTATCCTGAGGCTCCTGCCGCACCCCACCTTCATTGCTAGGATCCTCTCTTCTCTCCCTCTTGTTAGGGACCAGCACCTTGCAAGAGGCAGCATCAGTCAGCTATTATCCTTTTATTATTATTATGAGATCACGTTTAATGCAACATGCAGCCACGCCTCCTCCACATGCCAAGGATCTTATTTGGAGAGCCCCTTCTCTGTAGCCTCAGTCACTTCAGGGTGCAGGAAACGGCTGGCCAACCGCTCAATGTCATCCATTGTCAGACGGCTCAGGGACCTCTCGTACTCCTGAGAAGAAAATGTCGGAAGGATTGGGGAGCCCGTCAGAGGAGCAAGGGGCCTGGTGCGCGGGGGTGGGGATGCAGTGGGGGGATTGGGCTTCTGGCCCTAGTCCTCACCCGCTGGAGTTGTTCCTGGACCCTGGTGGCATCTGCAGCGCTGAAGTGTCGGCCCAGAATTTTAGCAATCACCTGCCACGTCTCCGAGGTGGGGGCTAAGGGCCGAGGCTGGGCGTCCTGTCTTCGGGCAGCGCCTTGCTCCAGCAGCACCTTCTCCAACGGCTTCACCACTAGGTTGAGCTTAGAATTGGGGCCAATGCTGTAATCCGAGAGCCTTTTCCCATCTGCCAAGGAGAAACTGATGGAGTTCAGAACCTCCTGCTGCTGGGTGTCAGCTCCTTCCGTGAGGGCGTCACCCCGCCACCAGTCTCAGCCTCGAAACCCCCGCCCTCCTCGCTGGGGGCCTCCCTGCTCCCCCGCTACCTGCCAGGGCTTTGCCCTTGAACAGCAGCCGCTGCTGGCGCACAGGGACGTTCAACTGCTCGGAGACCTGAAGCTTCAGGGAGGACACCAGCTCGTCTTCTGACACCTGAGGGGGCCGGGTGTAGGAGGCAGGGTTGAGTCCCGCTCTGCGGGCCGGGGAAGCCCTCGGAGGCCCCGCCTGGGGGTCTCTCTCCAGGCCTCCCCGCCCCAGGGCCGTCCTGGTCCCTGCCCGCTCCTGCGTCAGGACGGGCTGAGTCTCGAGCGAGGCCAGGTGGATCGGCTAGCCGCTACTACCTGCAGGACGCACTCTCGACCCTGGAGCACCTTCACCGTCAGCTGCATGGCGGCGGCGATGTCCACTGCGGCTGACGCACCCCACCAGCCCCCTGCCGCGCGCCCCCGCCTCCGCCCCGGGTCCCCGCCCCGGGCTCCGCCCCCGCCGCTGGGGGC